CTAATAATACAAAACATTTGTTATAATTCTTGAAATCAAATAAAATTTTAAATACAGCCTTAAAACTGCAATTTTTTTATTGATGTAAGCATAAAAAATGAATATAATTATATACAATCATTACCTGTGACAGTCTTGAGAAATGAGAACATATTTAAACAATAGCGTGTTAAAAGCCTCTGCACTTAAATGCAATTAAGTAAACAGATGGTTCATTTGGAATTAAAACATTCCCCTCTATATGGATTTAATTTACTAAAGAGGCCACAAATCTAGTCTATAATTTACCCTTGGAAAACATATTTCATGGGGGAAAAGTGCCTTTGTTTCATCCTCTGAAGAACAATTGGGCCGAGGTGGTTCAGGTGAGCGTTGTGGCCCATGGGCCTCTTGTTCTCAAGAACCACTGGGCCAATTTCAGCCAAACTTGCTACAAAGTATCCTGGGATAAAGGGGATTCAAGTTTTTTCAAATGAAGGGCCACGCCTTTTTCCAAGGGGGAGATAATCATGAATTAGAGAAAAAAATAATGGCATTTTTAAAAAATCTTCTTCTCAAGAACCACTGGGCCAGGAAAGATGAAACTCATGTGGAATCATCCTCAGGTAGTGTAGATTCAAGTTTGTTCAAAGCATGACCCCTGGGGGTAGGGTGGGGCCAAAATGGCCGATCAAAATTTTACATAGGAATATATATAGGAAAAATCTTTAAAAATCTTCTTCTCAAGAACCACTGGGCCAGGAAAGATGAAACTCATGTGGAATCATCCTCAGGTAGTATAGATTCATGTTTGTTCAAATCATGACCCCCGGGGGTAGGGTGGGGCCAAAATGGCCGATCAAATTTTTACATAGGAATATATAGGAAAAATCTTTAAAAATCTTCTTCTCAAGAACCACTGGGCCAGGAAAGATGAAACTCATGTGGAATCATCCTCAGATAGTGTAAATTCAGGTTTATTCAAATCATGACCCCTGGGGTAGGATAAGGCTGAAATGGCCGATCAAATTTTTACATAGGAATATATAGGAAAAATTTTCTTCTCAAGAACCATCGAGACAGGAAAGATGAAACTCCTGTGGAATCATCCCCAGGTAGTGTAGATTCAAATTTGTTCAAATTATGACCACCCGAGAGTAGGGTGAGGCCAAAAGGCCGATAAAAGTTTTACATAGGAATCTTTAAAAACTATTTTAAATCTTCTTTTCAAGTACTTCAAAGCCATGCTAGTGATATTTATAGGGAATCATCCTCAGGTAGTGTAGATTCTAGTTTGTTCAAATCGTGACCCCCTGGGGGGTTAAAATTCAAGCCCCCCCCCCCCCCAGTAAACTTTCAGTTCTGATCTGATATGTACTATGTACTTTTTCCTAGCCAATTGCTCAGGTGAGCGATGTGGCCCCTGGGCCTCTTGTTTCTCCAAAATTTTTCTTTTTTAAACATTGAATTATAAACTTCTTTTGTAGTTGAATCGCAGGTGTATATGCTTACGTTTTGCAATTAAGTAATTAAAAATGTTGGTTATTTCATTTGCTTAATGACAACAAGACCCAGATGTCTAGAACTTAATGACAAATAGCTGTTAACTTTTCAAGACTAAACAAGAGCATTTTCCGACTTGCAAAAACAATGGTACGTGTACGTGCACACATTCTACATTTAAAAATTTTCTTTTTTCTTTAGGAAAGACTTCTCCATCAAAATAAGCCCCAAACTTAAACTGTTTGAGTGGACCAAATCTAAAAATATCAACAAGCCAGTCTATATTACTGTAAGTATTCCACAAACATTCAGAAAAATGTGTTCAGTCCCCTCTCATTGATGTAATGTCTGATTCACTAGAAAGATATTTCTCACTAGATTACTCACTATGTTCATGTTTTTCTAATTAATTTTTTTTCCAGACTGAGAGAGCTGTGGATAGGAACTTTAACTGTGTGCTTCATCTGAACAACAATGAGTTCACGACCCCTTACTGGGAGAAGTCCAAACAGCTGGCAGAGCAGGCCTCTGCTGCCGTGGCAACCACAGTGCTGGATATTGTTGACGGCCGTGTAGAAGAGCCCTCAGAACAGTTAGAAAAATGTCGAGTTCAGTGGCTGGGGCTTAAAATTGATAAAAACTTGATCAACATTGACAATGGAAATCAGGAAAACTGTGACAAGGGGAAGAACTCTAATATGTCTCAGTCTGCAAAAAGAAAATGTGACACTGATATCAGTGAAAGAAATAAAAAAGTTTGTCCTGATGAAAATGCTGGCTAATATTTAGCTAGAAAAACCATATTTCTATTCAGTTCCTTTACTCTTTTTACCGTTCTTTTTGTTTTGTTTTGTGTTGCAAACTTTCTGGAGAGTAATATTTATTTATGAAAAAAGTTGTGACAAACATAACATACATGTATTCTTATTTATACATTTTTATTTGTAAGATTCATAGACATGTCGATGTTTTAACAGCATAACTTATATTTGTATAAAAATATGTAGAACAAAAATTGTCTCTATTGTGTACAAGCTTCAAAAAAAAGAGAGAAATGAGTTTCAAAAACATATACAAACACAATAGAAAGAAATTGCACTAGTCTGTTCTGTTATTTGAATTCTTGGTTTATGAGTCTAAGATGATCTGGGCATCTGTCCCATCAGAAAGCTTGTGCTTGTCTCCATTCAGGAGGTAAAATTCCCTCTTCAGAAAGGCAAACAGCAGATCAGTAGCCATCAAAATCTATTAAAACGGCAAAAATTTAATATTCATTGGTCAATGGTAAAATTATTTAAACTTTTTTTCCTTGTGAGAACATGCAGTTCTTTTTATCTCTAAAGGATTAATATTTTATCCTGATAATAGAACTTTAATCAGTGATATACAGAACATGTACAAACATGAGCATGTGAGATTCTAATTCTCACAAGACATGGCCATAAAACTGAGACAAGCTCACCTTTTATCTCAGTCTCACTCTTACAAGGGAATTCATAATGGAAAGGTGAGACTTAGTTGAAATGTGAGCTCATTTAAGTTTTATGACCCTGTAGCCAGGTTAAGTAATGACCCTTTATGAGAAGAACAAAAACACTAGGTGTAATCAATGAATATATGTCATTATTGTCTAGGTTGGAAAATAAAAATAACTAGATGCTGTCATGAGACAGTAATACCCGCACTAAGGTGTTTGCCTCTAAATGCACACTTCTTCATATTGGGCTTTACCACGGAAAAAGTCAATATAATTCAATAATTTACATAATACATGTATTCTTCAAATTGAGCATAATATGCTCAGGTGACCATGTAGCTGCAGATCTGCAGCGTTATGGTTTTATATATTTGTCTTTGACCATAACGCTACAGATCCCCATATGCAAAAAAGGTGCAATTTACGGCGCAATATTTTTTTGCGCACTTTGGGCAGAATTTCTCCACTGTCTAGCCTTGGTCACTCCACTACCCTTCCCTCTCTACTTTTAGACACATTCTGTAGTCAAAATGTATATTTTGTCCACCTCTCAGCCATTTATAGTCATCTCTACAGGCAATAAACCCGCTTGATTTGAATTTTATGCAATCTAACAAATAATTTTAATCAAGCGAGTTTATCTCGTGTAGAGACGAATATAAAACGTTTGGAGATGGATAAAATATACAGATTAGTTAAATAATGTGCCTAGAATTAGGGGGTGAAAGGTAGTAAATTGACCGATGCTGGAAAGTGAAAAAATTCTCCCCAGAAGTGCGCAAAAAAATATTGCACCGTAAATTGCACCTTTTTTGCATTACAGGATCTGTAGCTTTATGGTCAAAGACTAATATATAAAACCATAACGCTATACAGATCTGCAGCTAGTGACCATGTTACCCATGGGCCTCCATCTTATAGGTATTTCATATTCTTTATTCATTACCAGTCGGAAATTAGACAACAGAATTAAATTAATGATGTAAATTAGGTTTGATAAGGGGGGGGGGGTGGCACATAATTGGAACTTTTAAATATATTTTCTCATATAGATTAACAACAAATAATATTATTCAAATTAGTGTAAAGCGTTTTTGATGAATTTTTCAAAATGTGCAAAGTTTATTTATATTTGATTAGGCAGAAACTTCTTGAAAGCTGCCATATACACAATCAATTTAGTCAACCCCGACCCCTCTCCCATCAACACACACACACAAACACACCTTATTTGCCTGTTTTTGGAAATAGGCCTAGATGGCAAAGTTAAAATAAAACATGTTTTGTAAATGATAATTTTCAATTTGTTCTTGCACTATACATGTATCTGAACACCTGCATCACACTGGGCTTGCGTCACGTACCCAACTTAAGTACTAGTTTTACCACTGGCATTATCATTTTAGATTTCACTGCACGTGCAGTAGGCTACTAGTGTGCATCATTGCATATATGTCAGTAGGAATTATTTTATTTTGTGTTTTAACTGGATTATATTTCATGAAGATAACAGTGCCTAAATAATGACAATCGGTAAGTACAAGTTTTGGTATAGATTTGGGTAAAATAGTCTGAAATGCAACCGGTTAGGTTCAGCATCGGATGACCTTTGATCCTTTAAACTTACAATAGACGAATTTCACAATCTGAAGAGTTATCCCCCGTTATCAACGTTACATTCAGTTACAAGATCAGAATTTTTTTTCTGGGAGGGAGGTGGGGGGCGGGGGGGTTTCCAGACCAGAATTAGCCTGGTTCCCTGTCCCTGTTTTGCTTTATATACTCCGCGTCACTAGGGCCAGGTGGAGTACAATGGAATCCACCTGGCTCTCCTGCCTTGGCAAGGATGAGAGAGGGGACCAGGCTAGACCAGAATTTCCCGAGAAGCAAAAAAAAAAGAAGTTATGGTTGGGTCTCTTTTCTAGGGTGGAGGGACACTTAGGGCATCCAAAGTCATTTTTATTTCCTCCAGTATATATTATAGTCCTGCAAATTCCAAGGGGGGGGGGGGTGTTGATGGGGGGATCTCCCAATCCACTTCCCTGTCCCTGTAATGACAAATGATCATGTGACTCCTAAATAGTAGGAAACTTTTTCCATTTCACTATATATAATTTTGTTTCTTGTGTTATTATGTTATGTAAATTTAATGGTATAAAGGTTATGAACCCCTAGAGGTCATCCCCACTTTCCTAATGAGCTGAAATGTTCACAATATGACTGCATTAAATTGAATAAAAGTGCATCAATGATAAGATTACTTGACATTTTATTCATGATTTTGTGTCAACCTATCTTCCTAGAATTAGGAATGAAAATCATTCAGAGACGGACCACATTAAACTATTTGTATAAACATTTTTTTTAAATGTAAAAACAAGTAGTAGTTTGCATACATGAACATTGAACAGGGGTCTGGGAAGGGGTGAGGGGAAGGATCGAGTTAATATTTCTTTATATACGCCTTAATGGTTGAAAACTCCTAAAATGAATGTTGACCTCAAATCTAACTTGTCCTCATTATTTTTCAAGTGGTGGTGTCTCCATATGAGTGAAAAATACCTGAGAGGGATGTTTAACAACAAACAAAATGACATAAAAACACAATATTGATTTGCGTTAAGAAATATGCAGGGGATTTTTTCCATCATAAATCTTCTTCTCAAGAACAGCAAGGGCATTATTGTCCACCATTTTGGGGAAAGGGAGGGGACATTAAATCTCATTTGTCTGTCAGTCTGTCCATCTTATTTACAGCTAGTATGTGCATCTGTCACAATAAATTTAACCTTGGTCATAACTTTTGAATAATAAGAGATTGTGCTTTCATATTTGACATGTGCATTACCACAAAACTTTCTAAATACACTATGATTTTTTAACCGAAGTGAGACCTTGACCTTAAAGTTTTACCTACTTTCCAAAAAATAACATTTTAAATTGATCATTTTGAAAGAGAAAAGAAAGGGCATTCAAATTATACATGTTTATTACATGTGAAAAGACTTTTCAAAATATATCATGACTTTTGACTCTGTGACCTTGACCTAGAAGTTTAACCTACTTTTCAAAAATATTATATTGTATATATAACTTTTGATTCAAAAGAGATAGGACTTTCATATTTGACATGTACATTACCTGCAACAAAATGTTTCAGAGCATGCTATGATTTTTCCCCTTTGACCCAATTTTCAAAAATTGATATATGATAGGGGTGCATATTTGACACACAATCTGCCATAAATTATGGCATCCCATTCACTAAAACACAGAAAGCAGAGGACTACAATTCTTTGAATTTGCTTGTATAATCTTGATAGATGGAAACATCCTCATATAATGTAGATTCAAGTTTTTTATGCCACACCATGATTAGGAATACATACATGTATAGTTTTTGTCATGTCCGTCCTCCACCCTTCCATCTGTCTTTCCATCGGGCTCAAAGAAACTTTCTAGATATTTTTATCAAAGTTCATATGTTGATGCATACTGATGTAAATATCCACCGGCAGCAATATTTTTTGACTTTGACTTTTCCTTTGACCTTCACATAACTTTTCTTTAAATTAGTGTTTAGCTTTATTTTAAAGAAACCGTTCAAGTTGTGTAATGAAACTGCACATGATGATACATACTGATGTAAGCTTTACAATGCTTCACTCTTTTTTACCTTGATCATTCCTGTGACCTTGACCTCACTTTTCTAAAATTAATGTCTAGAGCAGTTTTGAATAAACAATTCAAGATATATTTATCAAACTTCATATGCTGATACATACTGCTGAGAGCTATTAATACATCAACTCATTTTGACCTTGTATTTTCCTTTGACCTTGACCTCACTTTTTAAATTATGTGTTTATCTAAGTTTTAAATAAACCATTAATTATAGTTTTATCAAACTTCATATGCTAATAGTAAATTCATACTGATGTAAGCTTTTCAACTGCAACAACATTTTGGCCCAAACCTTTCCTTTGACCTCTCTTTTTTTTTTAGAAAAGGTGTTAAGCTCAGCTTCATTAAATCATTCAAGATATTTTTATCAAACATAATATGCTGATATGTATTAGTGAAGCTACTCACCTGCATCAAAAACTTCACCTTGCACATTCCTGTGACCTTGACCTCCATCCTTTTTAATTTGTATTTCGCTTAGTTTTAAAGAAATGATTTAAGACATTTTTAAAACATCATATTTCGACCCCCATTTGACTCTCCAGGGCAAAATCAAAATTCCAAAACCCTGCTGTACATCAACATGACACTACCAACCATCTCCTAAAAGTTGATTAGGCTACTGTGTAAAATGTAAGAGGAGTTCAGGGA